GTTTATTTACCAACACGCTGGGGTCCACCTTCACAGACTCCTAAAACCAGGAGACAAAGGTGACATTTGCCAACATGCTGGGGTCCACCCTCACATAGACTCCTGAAAACAGGAGCTGAGGGCGACCCCGACTCACTATACACACAAGTTTTGATAGGGTTTCAGGGGGCATAATTGCACAGCACTATAGATACAGTTTCTGATTGGTTGACATTTGGCAAAGTATGAGATGTTACAGTTTAATTGGTCTTGGCATGAAGCAACCTATTTAATCTATAAGCAGATGGGTTTTGGCAATTGCAAATGTTTAGTGTTTAGGATATTCTCATTCGTCTGGGTCAGTCTGACCGTTATGAGTTTCTCAAGGATTATTTTAACATTGAGGGCTAACTGATTGACCTTGTCTCTGGAGGGAACTAAAAACTGAGGCCTAGTCTATTTAAAATGCTTCTTGAAGCCTGACTAAAGTTTGGTCAAGTAGCTAGGCAAAATCAGTTAGGGCCTTACAGGGAACCCAGAGGAGAAAACAAGTACTTTAATTGTGGAAAGTAGGAAATTTTAAGAGGGAATGCCCAGAGTGGGAAAAAGAAAGGAGAATAATCCTCCTTATGACTTTTGATGAGGAATAGGGAGTGTCGGGGGCTTTTTTATATTGGTAAGTCCCACCGGGCGCCCCTAGTAAAGTTAGAAGTGGGGCCACATGAGGAAATTGTGACCTTTTCAGTCAACTCGGGGGTCTCCAGATCTTCCCTTTGCAGTCAGCCTTCTGGTCTCCTCTATCTCAGGGGTGGAATGGGAAGAAGACCTTGCACTAAATGTCTTCCTAGAGCCCTTTTACGAATCCAAACAGCCTCTCGCAAAGACATTGGCTTAGCCCCACATGAGACGCTTTATGTGTTACCCTACTTAAGCCCCACTACTGACTTTCCCACTTTTGAGACAAAGGATCAATTTCTCAAAAACTATATATTTGGCTTGTCCTTGACTCTACTGTTTCTTAGGAAAAAGGGTCTTCTGTGGCAGACACCGCCCCTAGAGTTCCCGGTGCATCCTCATCACTCTGGCGGTAATGTATTAATCAAGAACTGTAAATTCCACCCTTGTGGGTAGAACCAAAAAAACAAAATTACTGGGGGAGGTGGTCCGTAGAAAATAATACCTTATCCCCATAGAAGAGAGAAAGGGTCTGCAACCAATATGGTAGTTTTTCAAATATCATTCTTAAGATAAATGTTTTGCTGTTGTGAAATGCCGTCGAGTCACTTCCGACTCATAGTGCCCCTGTACAGGGTTTCCAAAGAGCGACTGGTGAACTTGAACCGCCGACCTTGAGGTTCAAACCGACTTTGCAGTCCAGTATATTAGCCCACAGCACCACACTGGGACTCCAAGGTGTAGACATAGGCTATCTGAGCTTACAGGGCAAAATTCTGAGTTTGCACATGCAAGGTGAAACTGAAAAGTGAGTCGGACACTGAGAAGTTATGTTCTCTTTTCATATCTTTGATATTCTATCTGCAATAAAATGGTATAAATTGATCCATTTAACATGTAGTTAAGGATTTGTTTGGTTGGTGTGATAACAATTTTTTAAAACTGTACATTGCTCAAGACTTTGTGTGTGTTTTATTTTTGTATTAATGTTTCAGATCCTCTGAGAACGTAATACTGTTTTAAAAGATATTTGGTATACCAATACTCTTTCTCAATTGAAAACATTTTTTTTTGTTGTTAAAATTTGGGCCACCCTATAGGTATGCATTTCGTTTTGTTAAGAGGAGGAAAAGGATATTGTGCTGTAGACGTTAAATTAGAAGAAATCTTGGTCCAAACCCATCTCCTCAAATTCACCATTCATCACTTCTAACCAGGAAACCTGGTGTTGATCAAGACCTGGAAAGAGGACAGACTCCAGCCAGACTGTGAGGGTCCTTCCCAGGTGCAGCTGACCACTGAGACAGCCGTCCGGACCATGGACTGTGGAGGAGTGAACTAACTATACTCAGGTAAAGGTACCAGTGAGGAGGGACAATCCCCAAGGGAAAGTAGTCACCAGTGGGAAGCAAGTCCCTCGCCTAGGGAACCTCTCAAAGTGACCCTGAAAAGAATCTGAGAGGCTGTCTTGTCATACCTCTGCCAGATCCTCCTGCTTTTCCCTGGTCCCTCTCACTTTCGAGGGTCTAAAGCCTTAGTCCCACCGAGTCGCCGCTTCTCAGAAGACCTGGTAGACTTGGGGTGCACTGGGGCTTATAAAGGTATGGGGTCTCAGGAGGAGTGGTATGTTGAACATTCATCAGTTTTTAGTAAAGGGGCGCAGGCTTATTGGAAACGGAGTGCCTTCTGCAGTTGTCAGCTCTAGGCGTTATCTTCATGGCTTGTCTGTCTGTGGCTAGTGCTTCAATCGGGGTTTCAGGTCTTGACATCCTTATGGTTGTCTTGAGGCTATTCTTCTCAGTATTACTATTCTTGTTGGACTAGAAATGTCTTACTCACTTCCTTGGTCCCTGTTTAGTAGGAGAGAACTCAGTATACAGGGGTAGATACGACACCAGAGTAAGAGAGGCCTAGGACCCAAAGGATCCAACCTGTTCCGCACAAGATGGGCTGGGTTTGGAAGCTAATATGGCTAAAATGTATCATTACCATGGGGGAGGTGCAAAGGGCATTGGCCTGTGACCAGCCAGTCAAGTTGATAGTAGATGTAACTATGGCATTTCTCCCTTAGTTGTTTGCCAAGTTTTATCCTGCAGGAAATTGGAGGACCCAGTGCTGATCTCAAATAATGTCCCACTGTCAGCAACAGGGAGCCAAGAGCAGCAATCGGGGTCTATGGAATGGGTGCCCACATCTCTAGACAGGACCCTGTGAGCTGAAAATGACCCTGAAAGAGTAGAAGTGATTCAGGTAAAAGACCTGAAACAAACTGTAACAATAGAAACGGGCTCCACAACTGTGAATGCTTATCTGGAATGGATTAACTCTTCTGTTCCCACCCTAAATAAAAGTCACTATTACGTACGTGTGACGGGAAGACCAGAAGCCCAAACTGATCCCTTTGCTGGTCTTATAGAACAATGGTTCGGAAAATGGAAGGGGCTCATGACTTCAGTCCTCACCTCTCTAATTATCATATTTGGTGCATTAACACTAATGGGATGTTGTTATTATACCCTGTATAATCGTAGTGGTTACGAGTTGGGCTGGGAACCGCAAGATCAGTAGTTTGAAATTATCAGTTGCTCTGCGGGAGAAAGATGAGGCTTTCTGCTCCCGTAAAGATTTACAGCCTCGAAAACCCTATACAGGGTCACTATGAGTTGAAACCAACTCCACAGCACTTAACAACAACACAAGAGGATTCATTCTAAAACTTACAGAAACAGCCTTATCCAAACAACCCCCACTTCCATACCAAAATAATCTTCTTCACTTAGAAACATAAAAACACCAAAGTCAATGTCTCCTTGCAGAGTTTGAAAGAGAAGAATGAAGAAGTCTAACAAGAAGAAAAAGGGGGAATTGTGGGAATGAGAGTCTTTTCGTCAAAATTAATGTAATCCTGTTTATTGCATCCAGGTGACCTTTCTTTTACTTTTTGCTACTTCCTGAAGTGAGCAGGTGTATGACCTTTCTTTTACTTTAGGCTACTTCCTGGAGTAAGAAGAATGCACACCTTAGAAATTTGAATTAGCCAACCAGGTAAGGAAAAGACTATGTTGTTGAAGTCCTAGCCAATGGGGTGAGACACAGCTTTAAGACTTGCATCAGGGATAGAACCTGAGTGGACTGGCCACCAGTGTGCTCGCTGGCCTGTTCCTGCACAGCTACACACACACACCCTTCTGCAGAAGTAAATTTTGCCTTGCCGAGGTAATTTAATCTCACTGAGTGTCTTTTTGTGCAACATCGGGGTTCATTTCTAACACTTGTATACCCAAAAATGCATGCCCACAGAACCCTCAGAATGTGATCATAATTGGAAACAGAGTCACTGCAGATGTAATTGGTTAAGAGGAAGTCATTTCACAGTCGGGTGGTGTCTCGTAAGAGAAGACACACTGAGAGGAGAAGACCATGTGAAGAGAAGGCTCTGAAGACAGGATGACATCACCATGAGCCTAGGGGCACCTGGCGCCCCCAGAAGCTGGATGAGACCAGGAAGGCTCTGCCCCAGTGGCCTTGCTGGTCTCCAGAGCTGTGTGACAATGAATTCCTGGGGTCTTCCAGGAGTGGGGCTAGGCAGCCGACAGGGTCTCTCCATTGACCCCGGCACGGATGTGCTACGCCTTCCCCTGGCAGTGGCTGCTTTGAAGCTGCCGATTCAGATGCAGGTAGATCTCGTTTATGCTGCTTCACAGATAGGGCTTTTTCAAAAAAATAAATAAATGGAAGGCTTGTGACAAACTTACATCAAGCAAGTGTATCGATGTCACATGCTCACTTTGTGTCTCTGTGTCCCATTTCGGTCTTTCTCACAATATTGTAGCCTTTTCCATGCTGCTATTAAGGAAGGAGCTCTGATAGTGTAGTGGTTACGAATTGGCCTGCTAACCTTAAGGTCAGCAGTTTGAAACTACCAGCTGTTGCGCAGGTGAAAGATGAGGCTTTCTGCTCCATCAAGATTCATAACCTCAGAAACCCTACGCAGGGTCACTATGAGTCGGAATCAACTCCTCAGCACACCACCACCACCACCATGCTGCTATTTGCCATTTCATAAACTCCAGTCTAGAGTCCACCTCACTTCTGTACACACAGGATAGCCAACACATCTGCACGACTCGCTGACTGCCACATCCGCTTCACTGCGGTGGTCTGGAACCCATCCACGATAGCTCTGAGGTCGGCCTGGGTGGCACAGCAGAGACATCTTAGGGATCTCGGCCAACATGCCCCACATCGACATCTGAACCACTTTCACCTGACGCTGGGGAGTCTAAACCACACACCAGCAGAATGAAGCACAGCCCACCTGGCACAACCTGAGGGACCCCACGTACCTGTGGTGCCTCCAACTGGCCGGGGCCGGGCCACCGATGTCACCTCTTCTGAGTAGATTCCGCGGGCGGTAAAGGGCGCTTCGGCCTGGGGTTGTGCAGGCTCCGGGGGCCCCAGGTCTGAGGATAGTAGCAAACCAGGGCCAAAGCTGGGCCTGAGAACAAAGCATCCAGCATCAGAACTGCTGTCAAACCATTTATTGCCAAACTGTCCTTTCGTGGATTACCCACAGATCTCGGGGACTTCTGCATTTGTTCCCCACAGAAACCCCAACACTACCAGAGTATTTCCATTAAAGAAAAAAAGAAATGCTTTCATTTACAGGCAGGTGAAGTCCCACGACATGTTAATTCCTGTTGCTGTTAGTTGCCATCAGATGGGCTCTGACTCCCAACAACCTGATGTTTTAACAGACTGAACCTCTGCCTGGCCCTGCACCACCCTCCGGGATGCTGGAGTGTGTGAGCCCAAATCCATGTCTCTACCCTTACAACAGTAGCAATGTCTGAGTCCACTTTTGTCTGTCCATTTACTATCAGTCTTCCTCTTTTTCACTCACCCTCTCTCTACTTTATCAAAGGGGCACTGGTGGTGTAGTGGGTTATGCAATGGGCTGCTAACTACAAGGTCATCAGTTTGAATCTACCAGCCACCCTAAGGGAGAAAGATGAGGATTTCTGCTCCCATAAAGATTTCTAGGGTTAGAAACCCTATATAGGCTCTCTAAAGGTCGGAACCAACTCATCAGCACACAACAACAACTACTTTATCAAGCAGGATAGCCTTCTCCAGGGATCGCTGGTGGTACAGTGGTTAAGCACTTGGCCAAGAAACAAAAGGTCAGTGGTTCAAAGCCACCAGATGCTCCTTGGGAGAAAAGTGTGGCAATCTGCTTCCTTAAAGATCACAGCCTTAGAAGACTTATGGGACATAAGGAACCAACAGGACAGCAACAGAAAGTCTTAGAGTTACTATAATAGCTTTGATCATACAGACCCCGAGACAGTCTCAAGGACCCTCCAGGAATCTGAGGACCCCAGATTCACGCATTAATAAAGAAAAAGACAGAGTTCTATCACAGCTTACTGTACCCCAAAGTCAGCCATAATTATATGGGTCAAACCAATAGGATGAAAATGTAGACAGGCTGGCCTATATTCTACAGTGTTAGTCTTTC